GATGTGTGAATGTGGCCCACCCTATAAACGGGTTTGTGGCAGTGTGGCGTGGGCAATGTTGCTCGCCTCCGTGACTTTGGTTCACAGGTGCCCACTGGGTAACGCCAAATGAGCAACAATTGTGGCATAGTATAGGCAAAAGATTCAAATTCAGTGCCTGCCATTGGGGGAAAAAAAATCGCAATCGCTAGAGAAAAAAATGCAATATCTTGAATAAAAAATCTAAAGGAATATACATTTACGAAAAAATTGTGTTAGCATTTTCAATATGACTATCTCAATCCAAAATAAAGCTAAATTCAACAATAGAGAAATATATTTCTCTGATAACCATCCTCAACTTTTATAACAACTTTTCTTTTATGTTCGTTTCTATTACAACGCAAACCTTTATTCAGCTAATTTTATTCTTTTTTAGCTTTTGCTCTTTGGCTAATATATTCGCAATCGCTAGAGAAATAAATGCAATATCTTGAATAAAAAATCTAAAGGAATATGCATTTACGAAGAAATTGCATTAGCATTTTCAATTCAATTTTCTCAATCCAAAATAAAGCTAAATTCAACAATAAAGAAATATGTTTCTCTGATAACCATCCTCAATTTTTATTACAACTTTCCTTTTTTTGTTCGTTTCTATTACAAGGCAAACCTTTATTCAGCTAATTTTACTCTTTTTCAGCTTTTGCTCTTCTTAGGTTTATATATTCGCAATCGCTGGTGAACTTAATTAATGAGATCGAAGTTCCGCTAAAGCGAAAGTCGATCTTCAAGGGTTCCATGACTGAAAGAAATTGGAAACCGCTCGACTAGAGCCCCCAATTCCATACATGTGGACCCCATATGGCATCCGCCTATCGTTTTACATGAGCAGGGTGGCTACACTCTGGAAAAAATTAAAAGTGGGGAAAAAATTTTTTACGAGGTTGTTGTAAATTTTAAGTGTTTAAATTTCACTTTACTTTTAGGTATTCAGTTACAAAATAGATGCATAATTAACTAATATTTTTGGTCAATAGTAATTTGTTAAAATCATTGAGCGGGTAAGATGAATTGCCAGTGTGACTTCTGGATACGGTGGACCTAGCCCTAGAGAGGAGACTATGTGCTCCTTTATCGAAAATTATTAGATTTAGTGAGAAGGGGTGGGGAGTTTGCGTTCGCAAATGAACATTGTTAAATGAAAACACTAAGGGATTACATACACGTACAAGATTAAACTGGGATGGAACTTTTGCCGTTGATTGCTATTATGACGTAGTAGAAGAATTCTCTTCCGACACGGTTTGTAAGAAAAGCACTTTTCCTCCATGCCTGGCTCAAAGCATGTATGATTTTTTAAAATTCAAGTCGAATTTTAACTGTGGACATGGATTTTTAAATTTGGATAAAATTTTAACCACAAAATTTTACAATAGCAAAATTGTTTTTGAGCATATGGGAAAAATATATATGGAAATTTACGTCATAAATAATTTTTATTTGTAGTGACAATTTTTGAAAATATTTTCTTATTTTACCATATTTTTGTGTCGAATTTTTGATATAATTTTCAGTTCTCACAAATTATGTCTAAATTTTCACAAAATAGGTACTTTTAAAAAAAAAAACCTAGACAGACCCCTGACTATGTACAAGGAAGGTATCGAAGAGTTATAGAAAAACAACTGACAACTTGAGCACTCCTTCACGGGTGCAGAGGGAAAGTGATGCTGTTCATCTCAATGTGTTAATTGCAGGATTTATTATTATTATTTTAGTTGCAGGATTTATTATTGTTAATTAATATTTTAAGGAAACTGGAAATATTAAAACATTGTTTGTCACAGTTTGTAAAATTAGAATCTGAATATTTTTAAAATGTTGACAAACAAATATTGCGTAAACATCTCAGGAGAAGGTTTGCTTATAACTATGACATGTAGAATTTTTATTGTTTTATTGTTATTCAGTTAAATATTAAACTTCTCATTGTGTATACTTTTTCATTTCTAATAAGTATAATTGTTTTTTTTTGTTGTTTTTTTTCCTTTAAATATTACTTCTCTCGTTCATTTTTAACAAGGATTGTCGTTTTTGTTTTATTTTCATTCAGTTAAATATTAATTCCCTTGTTGTGTATACTTTTTTCTTTCATTTTTAATTTATTCGTTTTTGTTTTATTTTTATTAAGTTAAATATTATGTTCGCTCGTTGTGAATACTTTCGTTTCATTTTTAATTAATTCCTTGTTTTCATTATGTTATTCATCGTGTTATTCATTATGTTATTTCGTTGCAATCCATTATATTATAACATCAGAATCAAAGTTCGAAATTTAACTAATATGAAAATATATATTCTAGGAATTCAAATTTGATTACTATTGATTGAACATATTAAGTATATAGATTTTAAAACATAATTGTGAAATATTTTTAAAAAAAATTCATAATATTCCACTTAAAAATATAGTATAGATATTTTATTAATTACTGTTTTATGTTTATTAGTTTAACTTTGAATTTTTATTCTAATGTTAAATTGATTGACATAATGCTGCCCCCCGCCAAAACTAATTGTTACAAATGAAAAATAATTGATTGTGTTATTATTACGAATTAAATATTTAGTTATTATATAATGAATGAACAAATTGTCTGATTAATGATGGTTTTGGAATTATGTAAGGTAATGACACATAATAATATTATGAAATGAAATGGAACGAAATTGTATTTGGATACTAAATATTCAGTCATTGAATGGAGGAAAACAATTATTGATTTCAAAGTAAAAAATCTAACAAAGTAAGGCCGATAATAGGAACAAAAGTAATTAAATTAAGGAGAACCTGATCGTTAATGAAAACTGGTAATACAAAACTATTGTGGAATAGCAGTAATCCAATAGGTTCAATGGTGAGGTTAATATTGAACAGATTGCTATCATTAAATATGGAATAAGGTGAACAATAAAAATAATCAAAATTATAGATTTATAAAAGTAATAGAATGACTCGCTATATCCTAATATAAGCATCGCATTTAACCCTTTTGAAAGCCGTGGTAAGTATACTTACCACTACGTTTTACCACTTTTAATTTGATAACATAGATTTATAAAAGTAATAGAATGACTCGCTATATCCTAATATAAGCATCGCATTTAACCCTTTTGAAAGCCGTGGTAAGTATACTTACCACTACGTTTTACCACTTTTAATTTGATAACATAGATTTATAAAAGTAATAGAATGACTCGCTATATCCTAATATAAGCATCGCATTTAACCCTTTTGAAAGCCGTGGTAAGTATACTTACCACTACGTTTTACCACTTTTAATTTAGGTTTCCATTTTTCAATAACTTCAGCTTTCTTGAAGTGAGTTTGAATGAAATTGCTAACCATTTGTCACTTTTAAAAAACGTATAAAAGTTATAAAATACATAATTCCTTTTGAAGTTTGTAGCATTTAAGGAATTTATTTTATAAATAAAGAAAAATAAAAGTCAATAAGCTCCTAATAGGTCATGTTAAATATATTTACCACCAAAAAAGTGGCATTTTTATAAACTAAATGAGTTGTTTTTTTTATATCAATTACTGTTCTTAAAACAATTTCAATTCCAAAAATACTTTAATTTACCTTTACTAGAAATAAAGGGCCCGTTAAAGGGTTAAGATAGTAACGGGATGTTTCCAATTACAAAACAAGTGTATGCCCCAAAACAACAAAATATACTCACCGCATACAGGACAACCAGCTCAAAAAGGTTGATAATTTAAGTATGTTCAGAGTTCCCTTAATTCTATTTTAATTATGTACATCAAACTAGCAAATTTTTGAACAAAACTTTTTTTCAGATTTACACATGCACAAAACAGGCAATCGAATATGAAGTTAGGAAGCATTTTAACTAATGCCTATTATCTTTCAAGAAAAGGGTGACAGAAGAGTATTTTTTTTAAAAAATGTTATAAGGGTTTTGCAATCAAAAGTAATACATTAATAAAAGTATACAAGATAAATTTAAATCGTGATACGAAGATAAATACGAAAGAACATTTAATATGAAAGGATCTTAAATATTAATGGTATAAAGAGATAAATGTAAAGGGCATAGAAATTACTAAAAAATATAAATGTTTTGAAAATTTGTATTAACATTAAAGCCAAAGAAAAAGTACATAAAAAAAAGAGTTAAATTCCCTCGATACGGGCCTAGGTCATCATCTCGGAGAAAGAGGGAAGGAGGTATACTTTTTAGTGAATCGAAAAAAGTCAGCGAAGTGAATGTCTGTCAATATTCAGAAAATCCAGACAATTGATAACCAATTAAAATTCAAGGAGTAGAAAGTTTGAAAAGCGGGCGTTTAAGGTATATGACTAGTGCAAAAACATTATTTTGGGCAAAATTTTCGAAATTGAGTATATTATAAATTTTGAATCCTTGTACTTCTAGTTTTCTAAAAAAAAAATACTTTACTTTTGTTTGTACTCTAATTATTAACAAAAATATGGCAGTTTCTGTGCGAGGTGATAACGGTGGTTAGACCAATGATTATAAGTCTTTAAATGCGTTTATCTCAAAATCAGATTTTTTCACATTTTACACCACCTTAAACATGATATTTCGTTTTGTTTTTATAATAATTGTCTTCAATTATTCATGTATGTTAATAATTATAGCATATGTTTTGAAGAAAAGAGTAAAATTTCAATTTTTATGCCTCTTTTCTTCTCAAAGACAAGTGCTGAAATTATTAAAAATTTGCTTTTAACTAAATAGATCCCCAACTCAGTAGTATATGCACTTGCTTTTAAGATAATAGTTCAGAACATAGTTGATAGCCTTCTAAATTAAATCCTGGAAGATTTTTTTTTTTTGTGTTAGGTGATATAATTTTTTTTTACTGTGTTTCGCGTATATGCAAGGAAAAAAAAAAGTCTTTTTTTACCTAAAAGTGGCCACGTAAAAAGAAAATAATAATAATATTTTTTTGCTAGTTTTATAAGTTTTTATACATAATAAAACAAACTAGATTTTAAAATTTTTTTATTAATATTTTTAAGAAAAAGTTGTCGAATCTAGTCTTATACCTTAAGATTGTCTAAGTAAGATCCCCCCTCTCCAAAACAAAAATAAATAAATGAAGAAAAAAACGCGATTTTTTGAAAAACAAAGTCATAAAATTCTTTCAATGCCCTCCTCCTTTGAAAGACGGTTAAGACCCCAAAGGCGTGGAAAGAGGGTATTTCTCCCTCACAGGAAATTTGATATCAGGCCACAGGTGCAATGACCATTCAATAGAAATTCTTTTCGGAAGGAAAAGTGAAATTTTAGTCAGTCAAAATGAATTCGATATATTCATGTTTAAATTGAGAAGAAAAAAAATCACTTGAAAATTTCACATTGAACAAACTCAAACTGTTATAAAATTAAGAGTAAATAAAGGCTAAAAAATGTTGAGGAAAAGATTTTTAGGAAAAGTAATTGCAACATTATACAAAGTGTAACTATGACACTCACTATTTACAATTTCCTTAATACTTTTTAAATAATAAAATTACACTGCTTTTTATTTCTTAAAAATAAAATTCGTATATTTTATAAAAAATAAGAAGCGCAACTGTTCTCCCATACATTATAAAAAATTCAGAGCCCCACATTGAAAGTTCGGTATTTAGTCGAAAAATTATTGCATTATGATAAGTTACTGTTTTGTCACTACTGTTTTAGTTTCTTAAAAAAAATGTGAAATTTTAAGTTTCATATAATTGTAATATTTTATAGAAATAATGTTTATTTTCTAACTTTATGCTTATTCATAGAAAACAGTTTACAACTAGATCTCAAATAAGTAAAAGCAGTGACAACAGTTTACAACTAGAGCTGTGAGCTCATATATTTTACAGTTAATAGGGTAATTATTAATATAGGGTCAAAACTTCAATATAGGGTAATTATTAATTTTTAAAGAATTAAATCAATATTCAAGAAGTTAAAGTAATTTTCATTATTTTACTTAAAATAATGTTTTATTTTTAAATTACCCACTAACAACTGTTAATTATTATGACTCTCCGTGTGAATAATTTTCGAACACGTAACAAGGTACATATGTTTTAAACGAAAGAAAGCAAATGCTCATATAGCAATCGTTACTTCATTGATTATAAAAGTTTTATTTTTACCTTATTCATTGACAAATGTAGTTTATAACAACTGAGAAGGCGGGCACATGATTTATAAACAAAGAACATGTGTTTTCCAATATCTAACAAAGTGTACATGTTTTCAAACAGTTAAAAAAGTGCTGGAACATTTAATTTTCATTTCTAAATTATTAGTTATGTCATTTATCTTAGCTTTTTCTAAACTCTTTATTCTAAATTCTGTATTTGTCTATCGAGAATCAAATCTTTTCAAATGAGTAAAAAGAAAAAAAATCATGCTTATATAGTTTTCATTTATATTTATTTTTTCCCATTTAGACATATAAACCATTTACGCATATAAATAAGCGTATAATTAGACAGATATACGCTTACATAATATATATTTTATAAGCGTATATTTAGTTTATTTATCATTGACAAATATTTGCTATCAAAACCTGTTTTTTTATACCCATAGACTAAAAAGTGCAAATGTTTTTTTGACAGTTAAATATTACTGAAAAAATTAGCTTCTATTTATGTAATATTTAATAAATTTATGTAATATTTATTATATTATCAATTCATAGAACTGAGTCTGATTTAACAGAAAGTCCACAAATTAATAGAGGCCTCTCAAATTGAAGTAGGATTTGAAAAGTAACTTATAAATAGAAAGAAAAAAACAAGTAACTACCATGAATATAAAATAAATTCATTTTTAGTTCTACTTTAAAATTGTAAGAAGAAGAAAATATTTATTAAGCATTGTATTTAATTAAAATATATTTGACGCGTGTAGAAATGTTTTACAGTAACTAC